TCCAGGTAAACTCCAGGTAATATGCTCGCGGTGTCATGAGCAAAACACAGGTGCAACACTTAAGTGTCTCGACTGGTGACAACGTTTCGCCCTCGTAGCTGGAAAGAACTTTTCGCAGAAGAGATGAATTACCAGCACGTGAGTAAAAGAAATGAAGAGGTAGTGTGAGGTAATCAGTCCCTCAGTCTTGACACACACACACACACACACACACACACACACACACACACAGGTAGATGCAAAGCCAAAGTCATGAAGATTGGGGAGGGGCAAAGAAGACCGCAGACAGAGCATAGGCTAGGTGGACAAAGACTACAGACCTCACTCAGGGAGAAAGACCTCAGGGTGACCATAACACCGAGCACATCACCGGAGGCACACATCAACCAAATAACCGCTGCAGCATACGGGCGCCTGGCAAACCTGAGAATAGCGTTCCGATACCTTAATAAGGAATCGTTCAAGACACTGTACACTGTGTATGTTAGGCCCATACTGGAGTATGCAGCACCAGTCTGGAACCCACACCTGGTCAAGCACGTCAAGAAGTTAGAGAAAGTACAAAGGTTTGCAACAAGGCTAGTCCCAGAGCTCAAGGGAATGTCGTACGAGGAAAGGTTAAGGGAAATCGGACTGACGACACTGGAGGACAGAAGGGTCAGGGGAGACATGATAACGACATACAAGATACTGCGGGGAATAGACAAGGTGGACAGAGATAGGATGCCAGAGAGGAGGACACAGGAGATCAGTGAGGTCACATATGGTGAAAGCATGAAGAACCCTCAGACGATGCACAGAGGACGTTAGGAAGCTATTTCTTCAGTCATAGAGTTGTCAGCAAGTGGAATAGCCTAGCAAGTGAAGTAGTGGAGGCAGGAACCATACACAGTTTTAAGAAGAGGTATGACAAAGCTCAGGAAGCAGAGAGAGAAAGGATCAGTAGCGATCAGTGAGAGGCGGGGCCAGGAGCGAGTGACCCTGCAACCACAATTAGGTGAGTACATAGAGGTGAGTACACACACACACACACACACACACACACACACACACATTTCTGATAGACCTACTGCAGTGTTGCAGTGTCCCGTGGAAGACAGGTCAGTGTTGAGTTGCAACCATCACCACCACCACCTTGACACCTTCACTCAACTAATAGTTGTCAAACAATACTACCACCACCACAACAAATACACCAACAAGAGCAACAACAACAACAACAACCGAGAGCTAACTGCAACACTGAAGGTATCTTGCAGCGTTGCACTTAAAGAGCTCAACACGACACCAGTGCAACCAAGAGAATGAGAGAGAGAAAAAGGGGAATGAGGTAGAGGAGAGTGAGAGAGAAGAGAGAGAGTGAAGAGAGAGAGAGAGAGAGAGAGAGAGAGAGAGAGAGAGAGAGAGAGAGAGATAGAATTAGCTTGGAAATAAAGTTAGGAATCCTTACCCTAACCTTGTTAAACTCTGTGTAGAGAGAGAGAAAACTCTCTAAAGTTCTTGACTCTGACAGTAAGTACTGGTTAAAACGACAGCAATCTTGATGTGTTAAAATACCTGGTAGAAGTTTTATCATTAAATAGTCAAGAGATGCCGGTCCAGTTAGCCGCCTGCTACTGTATTAAAGAAATCTAAGGCACCAAACTATATACACAGCAACTGTAATAGTTATCCCTCTCTCTCTTCTCTCTCTCTCTCTCTCTCTCTCTCTAATGTTACTGAGGTTAATCTCTCTCTCTCTAATGTTACTGAGGTTAATCTCTCTCTCTCTGTTACTGAGGTTAATCTCTCTCTCTCTAATGTTACTGAGGTTAATCTCTCTCTCTCTGTTACTGAGGTTAATCTCTCTCTAATGTTACTGAGGTTAATATTTCTCTCTCTCTCTAATGTTACTGAGGTTAATATCTCTCTTTCTCTCTGTTACTGAGGTTAATCTCTCTCTAATGTTACTGAGGTTAATCTCTCTCTCTCTGTTACTGAGGTTAATCTCTCTCTAATGTTACTGAGGCTAATATTTCTCTCTCTCTCTAATGTTACTGAGGTTAATATCTCTCTCTCTCTCTTACTGAGGTTAATCTCTCTCTAATGTTACTGAGGATAATATTTCTCTCTCTCTATTGTTACTGAGGTTAATCTCTCTCTAATGTTACTGAGGTTAATATTTCTCTCTCTCTAATGTTACTGAGGTTAATCTCTCTCTAATGTTACTGAGGTTAATATTTCTCTCTCTCTAATGTTATCTGAGGTTATATCTCTCTCTAATGTTACTGAGGTTAATATTTCTCTCTCTCTAATGTTACTGAGGTTAATCTCTCTCTCTCTGTTACAGAGATTAATCTCTCTCTAATGTTACTGAGATTAATATTTCTCTCTCTCTAATGTTACTGAGGTTAATCTCTCTCTCTCTGTTACAGAGATTAATCTCTCTCTAATGTTACTGAGGTTAATATTTCTCTCTCTCTAATGTTACCGAGGTTAATATTTCTCTCTCTCTAATGTTACCGAGATTATTATTTCTCTTTCTCTCTCTAATTAAAAAATAATTGGGAGGACATTTTAGCCGGTGAATTCGAAAAAGGCACAATGTAACCTCGACGAATAATTAAAACCCATCCCTACATTATTAACATTTCAGATATGACATACTGTCTGTCACGTTGTTAAACCCATGCTAGACTACCATAATGGTGGTCTTGTTAAACCCATGCTAGACTACCATGATGGTGGTCTTGTTAAACCCATGCTAGACTACCATGATGGTGGTCTTGTTAAACCCACGCTAGACTACCATGATGGTGGTCTTGTTAAACCCATGCTAGACTACCATGATGGTGGTCTTGTTAAACCCATGCTAGACTACATGATAAGTGGTCTTGTTAAACCCACGCTAGACTACCATGATGGTGGTCTTGTTAAACCCATGCTAGACTACCATGATGGTGGTCTTGTTAAACCCATGCTAGACTACCATGATGTTGGTCTTGTTAAACCGACGCTAGACTACCATGATGGTGGTCTTGTTAAACCCATGCTAGACTACCATGATGGTGGTCTTGTTAAAAACACGCTAGACTACCATGATGGTGGTCTTGTTAAAAACACGCTAGACTACCATGATGGTGGTCTTGTTAAACCCATGCTAGACTACCATGATGGTGGTCTTGTTAAACCCACGCTAGACAACCATGATGGTGGTCTTGTTAAACCCACGCTAGACTACCATGATGGTGGTCTTGTTAAACCCATGCTAGACTACCATGATGGTGGTCTTGTTAAACCCATGCTAGACTACCATGATGGTGGTCTTGTTAAACCCACGCTAGACTACCATGATGGTGGTCTTGTTAAACCCATGCTAGACTTCCATGATGGTGGTCTTGTTAAACCCATGCTAGACTACCATGATGGTGGTCTTGTTAAACCCATGCTAGACTACCATTATTGTGGTCTTGTTAAACCATGCTAGACTACCATGATGGTGGTCTTGTTAAACCCACGCTAGACTATCATGATGGTGGTCTTGCTAAACCCACGCTGGACTACCATGATGGTGGTCTTGTTAAACCCATGCTAGACTACCATGATGGTGGTCTTGTTAAACCCATGCTAGACTACCATGATGATGGTCTTGTTAAACCCATGCTAGACTACCATGATGGTGGTCTTGTTAAACCCACACTAGACTGCCATAATGGTAGTCTTGTTAAACCCATGCTAGACTACCATGATGGTGGTCTTGTTAAACCCATGCTAGACTACCATGATGGTGGTCTTGTTAAACCCACACTAAACTACCATGATGGTGGTCTTGTTAAACCCACACTAAACTACCATGATGGTGGTCTTGTTATACCCATGCTAGACTACCATGACGGTGGTCTTGTTAAACCCATGCTAGACTACCATGATGGTGGTCTTGTTAAACCCATGCTAGACTACCATGATGGTGGTCTTGTTAAATCCATGCTAGACTACCATGATGGTGGTCTTGTTAAACCCATGCTAGACTACCATGATGGTGGTCTTGTTAAACTCAAGCTAGACTACCATGATGGTGGTCTTGTTAAACCATGCTAGACTACCATGATGGTGGTCTTGTTAAACCCAAGCTAGACTACCATGATGGTGGTCTTGTTAAACCATGCTAGACTACCATGATGGTGATCTTGTTAAACCCATGCTAGACTACCATGATGGTGGTCTTGTTAAACCCACGCTAGACTACCATGATGGTGGTCTTGTTAAACCCATGCTAGACTACCATGATGGTGGTTTTGTTAAACCCACGCTAAACTACCATGATGGTGGTCTTGTTAAACCCACGCTAGACTACCATGATGGTGGTCTTGTTAAACCCATGCTAGACTACCATGATGGTGGTCTTGTTAAACACACGCTAGACTACCATGATGGTGGTCTTGTTAAACCCACACTAGACTACCATGATGGTAGTCTTGTTAAACCCATGCTAGACTACCATGATAGTGGTCTTGTTAAACCCACACCAAACTACCATGATGGTGGTCTTGTTAAACCCATGCTAGACTACCATGATGGTGGTCTTGTTAAACCCACGCTAAACTACCATGATGGTGGTTTTGTTAAACCCATGCTAGACTACCATGATTGTGGTCTTGTTAAACCCACGCTAGACTACCATGATGGTAGCCTTGTTAAACCCATGCTAGACTACCATGATGGTGGTCTTGTTAAACCCACGCTAAACTACCATGATGGTGGTCTTGTTAAACCCATGCTAGACTACCATGATTGTGGTCTTGTTAAACCCACACTAGAGTACCATGATGGTAGTCTTACTCCTGTAACCATGTTTATCCGCACCTCCATCTCTCTCTCTCGTCTCCCCTTCTCCCCCCCCCCAAGAAATTCCTCTTTCCACATTCTCCCCCTCCCACCATGCATGACCCCCTTCCCAGTATCTTATGGTAAATTTCTCCTGTCTGAGGGTCAGTCCGTAGTGAGAGATGGTAATTCCCAGGTGATAGTAACTGCAGCTCTGCAGGAAGGTGACCTTTGATGCTGTCCTTGCTGATGAACCTTTAATGGAATACTTGACCATATGTTCATTGTCCTGCTGAAGTCTGTCTGCTCAGACTGACACTACTGAAGTCTTCCAGCTCAGGTTGACACTACTGAAGTCTCCAGCTCAGGCTGACACTACTGAAGTCTCCAGCTCAGGCTGAAGTATCTCAGGACTAAGTATGTGATCCATCCTGTGTGATGGAATGTGACAGGGAAACCCAGTCTGCGAAACCAACTACCACATCAATCAACCAACTACCACATCAATCAACCAACTACCACTTCAACCAACTACCACATCAATCAACCAACTACCACATCAATCAACCAACTACCACATCTACCAACCAACCAACCATCACATCAATCACCCAACTATCACATCTACCAACCAACTACCACATCTACCAACCAATTACCACATCAACCAACCAACTACCACATCAACCAACCAACCAACTATCATATCAACCACCCAACTACCACATCTACTAACCAACTACCACATCTACCAACCAATTACCACATCAACCAACCAACTACCACATCAACCAACTACCACATCAACCACCCAACTACCACATCTACCAACCAACTACCACATCTACCAACCAATTACCACATCAACCAACTACCACATCAACCAACCACCACATCAACCAACCAACCAACTACCACATCAACCACCCAACTACCACATTTACCAACCAACTACCACATCAACCACCCAACTACCACATCTACCAACCAACTACCACATCAACCAACCAACTACCACATCTACCAACCAACTACCACATTAACCAACCAACTACCACGTCTACCAACCAACTACCACATCTAACAACCAACTACCACACCTACCAACCAACTACCAATCTGCCAACAACTACCACATCTACCAACCAACTACCACACCTACAACCAACTACCACATCTACCAACCAACTACCACATCTACAACCAACTACATCAGCCAACCAACCACCACATTAATCAACTACCACGTCAACCAACCAACTACCACACTACCAACTAACTACCACATCTGCCAACCAACTACCACATCTTCCAACCAACTACCACATTACCAACCAACTACCACACCTACCAACCAACTACCACATCTACCAACCAACTACCACATCTACCAACCAACTACTACATCAACCAACTACATCAGCCAAGTACCACATCAACCAACTACCACATTTACCAACCAAATAACACATCTATCAACCAACCAACTACCACATCAACCAACAAACCAACTACCACATCAGCCACCCAATACCACATCTACCAACCAACTACCACATCAACCAACAACTCCATCTACCAATCAACTACCACCTCAATTAACCAACCAGCTACCACATCAACCAACCAACACCACATCACCAACCAACTACCACCTCAATTGACCAACTACCACATCATACCAACCAACTACCACCTCAACCAAACCAACTAACTTCCATATCAACTTAATCAACCAACTACCACATCAACCAACCAACTACCCCATCTACCATCCTCAATTAACCAGCCAACTACCACATCAACCAACTACCACCTCAACTGACCAACTACCACGTCTACCAACCAACCAACTACCACATCAACTAACCAACTACCACATCAACCAACCAACTACCACACAACCAACCACCAACTACCACATCAACCAACTACCACATCAACCAACTACCACATCAACCAAACCAACCAACTACCACATCAACCAACCAACCAACTACCACATCAACCAACTAACTGCCACATCAACCAACCCAACCAACTACCACATCAACCAACTACCACATCAACCAACAACCAACTACCACATCAACCAACCAACTACCACATCAAGCAACCAAACTACCACATCAACCAACCAACCAACTACCACATCTACCAAACCAACTACCACGTCAACCAACTAACTACCACCTCAATTGACCAACTATCACATCTACCAACCAACTACCACCTCAACCAACCAACTAACTACCATATCAACTAATCAACCAACTAGCACATCAACCAACCTAACTACCACCATCTACCAACTACCACCTCAATTAACCAGCCAACTACCACATCAACCAACCAACTACCACCCTCAACTAACAACTACCACATCTACCAACCAACTACCACCTCAAAACCAAACCAACAAACTACCACTATCAACAACCAACTACCGCATCAACCAACCAACTACCACATCAACCAACCACCAACTACCACATCAAACAACCAACTACACCACAACCAAACCAACCAACTACCATATCAACACAACCAACTTCGCATCAACCAACAACCAACTACCACGTCAACCAACCAACCAACTACCACATCTACCAACCAACTACCAAGTCAACCAACCACCACATCAACCAACTACCACATCAACCAACCAACCAACTGCCACATCAACCGACCAACTACACATCAACAACCAACTACCACATCAACCAACCAACCAACTACCACATCAACTAACAACCAACCAACTACACGTCAACCAACCAATACCACGTCAACAACCATCAAGCAACCTTACACACCATGACATGCTGAACTATTTTTACTCCCCCCCAACCATCTATCTCATACCTCCGCCCTCTCTGTTGCCTCTCTCCCTCCTCCTCATCACCACCTTCACTGCGAAAAAGATGAAGGTGGGAGGGAAGATGGGAAAGTAACCTCGCTCAGGACACATTAACTGGGAAGCATCACAATGTTGGTGGAGATACAACTCCCCCCACACTCCTTTGTCTGCTGTGATGACGGCCGCAGAGTGCATCCAGAAGAGGAGGAGGAGTGAGAAAAGAAGAATGGAGAGGCTAGAATCAAGTTTGGATGAATTACCTTCCCTCTGATGGCAGCATAGATGCCTGAAAAATGAGTCTCCGTGGAAGGTCTCCTTTGGGGTCTTGTTGCTCTTTCTCTCGTCCTGCGACTGGTCCTCGTTTAGTTCTACTAAGTAGACCCCTGGCAGTCTTCAAGAGGGAACTGGACTGATACCTAAAGTCAGTCTCTGATCAGCCGGGCTGTGGTTCGTACGTTGGTTTGCGTGCGGCTAGCAGTAACAACCTGGTTGATCAGGCCCCGATCCACCACCGGGAGGCCTGGTCGATAACCGGGCCACGGGGGGCGTTGACCCCCAGGCGTTGGTAGACATTGTAATTCGTCCAGTCATTCTGCTCCTAAATCACCTAACAATTCAAATTCTAAGCAGGTCTCCTTAAGCATATTTCCTGCACTCTTAACCGTCCTCCTAGCATTCTTAGCAATCCTAGCCATCCTCCTAGCCTGTTATTCACGAAAATCCTAATCGTCTCTTAGATTCCTAGACGTGCTTCTAGCACTCCTTCTTGGTGTCTTTCATCCCCAGACACTCCTCACCCCTTCCAGGAAATCCTCCACACTTCCAGAACATCCTCAACTTCAGGAAACTCCCTCACACCTTCCAGGAAACTCCTCAATCTCCAGACACTCCCTCACACCTTCCAGGAACACTCCTCTCACACCTTCCAGAACACTCCTTCGGCACCTTCCAGGAACACTCCCTCACACCTGTTTGGAAGCTCCTTCCTTCCCTCTTGGAACTTCCCGGTCTCCATCAACACCTCCGGCTGATAGTGATGGAATGAAAGTTTAATGTCTGATGGAATATACATCCTGGAGGAGGGAAGGAGGAGGGAGGCAGGAGAAGGCATTAGGGAGGAGGTCTAGCAGAAGAGGGGACAATGAGTGGGTAAGACAGGTACCAGACTCCCTCACCACCACCACCAACAAGCCTGCCCAACCACCACCATACTAACAGTCAACCAGACAACTCAACCATAATACAGAAATCACTTTGATTTGCACATCGCGTGGGGATCGGGAAATGTGGCCGAAATGGGGAGGCGAGAGAGAGAGAGAGAGAGAGAGAGAGAGAGAGAGAGAGAGAGAGAGGCTCTAATATACTCTAAAAAAAATGTACTGGTTAGGTCATAAGGGGTCAACACCCCCGTGGTCCAGTCCCAGACACGTACGAACCACAGTTGGTCAGGAACTGACTTGAGGAATTTATCAAGGTCACTCTTGAAGACAGTCTGCTGGTAATTCTCCTTAAGTATGATAGGAGGCTGTTGAAAAGTCTTGGACCCCTTACACTTATTATGTTTTCACTCCGTGTACTCACGGTACCGTTACTGGGCGTTTGTTGCACCGTCTGCCGAGTCTTCTGCCTTCGTAGTGAGTGACAGGTTCAAGATTTCAGACCAATCCCTCTAGATTTTCCTGTGTAAATTCCTGCTGCTACTGCTGTTGTTGCCATGTTGTTGCTGCTGGTACTATTCTTGTTGTTGCTACTGCTGTTACTGCTGATACAGTTGTTGTCGCTGCTGCAACTGCTGTTGTTGTTGCTGGTATTGCCGTTGCTGTTACTGCTATTGTTGCTGCTGCTACTGTTGTTACTGTTGCTGCTACTGTCGTTATTGCTCCTGGTTTAACTCATCTTGTGTTATGGAATGTGATAAGGGAAATACAGCATTTCTACCCACTACTCATCTTATTTAAGTAAGGAAATATGTTGTTAATACTATTTCTGTTGCTGTTAATGCTGCTTCTGTTGCTGTTAATGCTGCTTCTGTTGCTGTTAATGCTGCTTCTGTTGCTGTTCATGCTGCTTCTGTTGCTGGTGATGCTGCTTCTGTTGCTGTTAATGCTGCTTCTGTTGCTGTTAATGCTGCTTCTGTTGCTGGTGATGCTGCTTCTGTTGCTGTTGATGCTGCTTCTGTTGCTGTTAATGCTGCTTCTGTTGCTGTTCAATGCTGCTTCTGTTGCTGGTGATGCTGCTTCTGTTGCTGTTAATGCTGCTTCTTACTGTTGCTGTTAATGCTGCTTCTGTTGCTGGTGATGCTGCTTCTGTTGCTGTTGATGTTGCTTCTGTAGCTGTTTCTGTTAATGCTGTTTCTGTTGCTGTTAATGATGCTTCTGTTGCTATTGATGTTTCTGTTGCTGTTAATGCTACTTCTGTTGCTGTTAATGCTGCTTCTGTAGCTGTTAATGCTGCTTCTGTTGCTGTTAATGCTGCTTCTG